GTCCCTTCCAACCCTAGAAACTATGAAACTATGAATTTTTTTTAATGTGTAGAAATAACGCCTTCACCAGGTGTTGTCTTCATGGAGTCCATATATGAAATTATGAGCTACCCACCTGGATAAGAGTTACCGGGTCTATCCCTTTTCCTGCCCTAAATAATGTTATCCCCTTAGGGTGATCGGTCCTGAAATTAAAGAATCAAAACTAAAGTTAAAGGAAAGATTTAAAACTACTTTCATAGCATCTGATGCTGCTACCTACCGGTGCTCCTGAGTCACTGCAACAAGTCAAAATCCTAATGTAAATATTTGCAGAATAAAGGCTGCGGACTTAGAATGGTACCTAACCTTGTTCCCAGTTACACCATGGACTTCTGGATTAAAACTGGTGTAACTGGAAGCCAAATTTGGCTCACACAACCTGGCCCAAGGTGTTTAGGAATAAATTTGCCAAGGTGCCAAGATGTGTAGCTGCATCTTTAGGCGCTTGAATACCTTTGAAAATCTGGCCCTTATTATAAATAGCATTGGTTTTGTTGCAGCCTGATTTTTTTTGGTGATATCAGGATATTTACTCTGATTCTCTAGTTATCGTCATGTAGAATAAAAGTGAGCGCGTGTGTAAGGGACCCAAAGGCATCAGGTGGGAACGGTTATGAGATCGCAGATTTGTACCACAAGGGACAGAGCATCAAAACTTTGGTGAGAAGAGCATTAAAAGGAGCTTGCGTTGTCACCACCTGGGCTGTTCCTGCTCCCTACTTAGAACTGGTCTGGAAAGCTGTTGGCGTGGCACTCTTTACCACCACCAGATGAATATAATTCATTTAATATCTGTGTGGATGTCTTTGCATTTAAGGATTCACCCTGACTTGTTGATCTCTCCAAGCTACCTGGTGTCCTTTTTCACCCCCATTTTTCAGACATAGGGTTGCCAGTTCTGTTTGACGCTATTCCAGAAGGTCTCACCACCGAATATAACGACATTAATGAGTCATTACATCAGGAAGGCACATTTCTATTATATTTTTAAAACCTGCTGGGCCACTGTATAAATCAGATTCAACATTTAATGTTTATTTTAAGGAATGCCCTGTCGTTTATCTCCCGGGTGACTCTCGGCAGCCTCCTGGAGATGCATATCTAATTCCTGGAGACTCCAGGGCAAGCCTGGAGGGTTGGCCTAGTCAGACAGTAGCCTGCCAGGTGTATTTCCTCTTTGTCTGTGATGAATCCACCTTCGCACAATGCAGCTTTCCCATTTTAACTTCTTTGTCTCCGTGTCAGTGCGCTGTGAAATAAAGTGTTAGTCCACAGTGGGTGTTTTCTCCCATGTGCTGTGATCATTTTCCTAGCCAGTTATGCCAAACCATTATGCCCAGGGGCAGCCAATTAAAAATTACATATGTTGCACATTTCCTGACTTCCAGTCAAAGAAAAACCATTTGCAAGACATGATGACTTCATTAAATGCTACCGTCTGTTTTCAGGTGAAATTCTTGTCCCAGAGTAAATCCAAATCAGGCTCCCGGTTCTCTGTCCCTGGTGGGTAGGTCCAATGAAGGCAATGGTCTTGTTTCTGCCAAGACCTGACCCGATGCTCACAGAGGGCAGTTGAAAGTTTCCCAGTGACCTTTCTGAGCATTGGGTTGGAGTCCAGGTAAGAAATCCACAGCTGAGCTCCAGGCCTCAGCTGGCCTCCTGTTCATAATCAGGATCTGAAGTCTGTCCCACTGCCTTCCCAAGGGGCACATCTACATGTGCACTTGAATGCACGTTAGCCTATTTTAATGTGCATTAAAGTGTCATTAAAAAAACCATGCGCTTTCACTGACGCTCATTAAAATAAGCTAATGTGCCT